AATGCTAAAGCTCAAATGTACCCCCTGTAAGTAGACTCTTCCAGCACTAGAAGTTGGGCATGTTTGCAGGTTCAGAGCCGACATTTTCTCCCAGGGCCAAGGACTCAGCCACTCAGGCTTTGCTTAGAAATTTACAGTGTCAGCAGGCATGACAACTGTAAACCTTGTACATGTACCATGCAGAGAGAAAAAAAATTGCAGATTAAATGCACAGTTTTTCTGCCTTCCTCTGTTCCTTCAGTAACTCTGCCTACAAGACATCCCATTAAATCTTAAACATCAAGAGTCTTCCTGGTTCCAGAAAAATTAGGCCAATTACACCAGAGATATGGGACTGAATTCTGATGTCAAACAATTGCTATGGGATTAAGTTCCCCAATACCACTGAAGTTAAATTAACATTGATTTAATAAAAGCAGTGTTTAACCTGGGATATGAAAGTCTACTTCCAGTGTGTACTAGAGCCCCAGCTCTGCAGTGGTTAAGAGAAGCATGGTTATTTTTTATTTGATTTGAAGATTTTATTTTGCTTTTAAGGAACAAAATTAGTCCATCCCACTTCATATCTTCATATACATTTATAATTTATGCTCTGTTGACTGAGAGAAAAAGAACGAACATATTAAAATTTGATACCTGTCCTCCAAATGGAGGAAACATTTCACGACAGAATTTGCATTGTTTAGCTCTGATCATCTCCACATTTAGTTGTCATTGCTGTCTTAAATATTGCTTCTATTTCTTCTTCAAGAATTGAGGAACAGCTTTTTGACAGCATTTTGATGAAATGCTCTAAGTACTGAACCATAACCCCACTTCCCGCACTCATTCTGAACTTACCTTAACTGCTCACTAATGACTTAACCCAAAATATTAAGCTTTACCGTTTGTCCCTACAAGACCTGCTGCCCTGCAGGGAAATCTCTGACAGTATTACTTAAGGAAGTCAGTTCTGCAAATGCTGGACATCAATGTTTTCTTTCATATAATTTTATTTTTGGCAAAAAATAATTTGATTATATATTAAGAATATGGTATTCAGAGAGTCAGACATCCAAATAAAAGCTAAGCAGTGGATCAGATAACTTGAACCCCAAGCCACAATTAAAAATAAAAATCAGTTGATTTTGCTTTTTTGCAAATGTTATTTATCTTGCCTGTTAGCAATTCAGATTTCACTCCATCCCCGAATGTCTGAGTACTGACATGAATGAAATTAAGTAGCATAATGGTATATCTCCACTTAACTGCTTGTCGTCTTTGCATAATCCCATTTTTATAATTTGTATTCAAAAGAATCTAAAGAATGTAAGGATAGTAGGGCAAAAGACACTGTACAAACAAAATGAATTAGCCCCAACACTGGAAAAATACATAACTTAAAACATATTTTAAAACATATGGAAAGCCTAGAAGTAACATATCCTACTCTGAGATATAAATAGCTCTGCTTCAAGTGTAGGATTAGTCCTCCACTTAAACTTTTACAGAGCCTCATGATATTCCACCATTGCCACAAACTGCTTCTGCCCAGGGATTTTCAGGACTAATCCTCTTGAACACAAATTTATTTCAGCTTTGCCCTGTCTTCAGACTATTGCATTCCCCTTCCTGCCATTACACCCTTGTATTCTGCATTTCAATGTCTTCATTTTTAAGCTTCTGGTGCATGTGAAAGCCATCAGTTACTCTCCCCAGTGAGAGAGTGCAGCCAGTAACAGGCTTGGGATTTTACTCTGTTTATAATAAAAGATTTGATTTTTTTTAATCAAGACAGCAATTACTATGATTGCATATGGGTCTAATTTATCTCCTTAAACAAGTTTTGTGGTTATCCAGAGCATAATGCCATTAAAAATTTTACACAGCTGAGATGTGTTATGAGGGAGAAAGAAATGCTTGAAAGGTAGATTTATGAACTACAGGTAATGAATGTTGCTGGATCCTGAAGCGCTCCTACTGCAATTACAAGTAGCTATTTTCAAGGAAGCCTAAGATTCCCAATAAAGTTTAAGCATGTCCAGCTTTAGGAGACATCACATTGTGTTGGCAGGTTGGCGGCGCCTCCAGTAGCTACCGCCTGCCTTTTCCCATTCACACAGGCACGCAGTTCAGGCTCAGCTGGCTCTGACAAATCCTTGGACAGATACTGATCGTCATCCCCCCTGCCCAGGGCACTGTGCCACTTCCAAAGCTGCGGGTCTACAGGTGAAGCGGGATCCTTTCTCCTGCTGCTGGAAGCCGCAAGCTTCTTGACAGCCACCCTCTACTACCTGCTTGACAAGTGGCTCCAGTTGTCCTTCCCTTCTCATGCTGTGCGGCTCTTGTCTCTGCAAGCTTCAGCAAAAACTCCGTCACTCCCCTCTTCCCTGGAAGCAACTGCTTGCTATTTCACCAGAGAGCCGCAGTAGCATTCAGCACTGCTGCTAAGGGGTTAAAAGGGTCACGATGGGGAGAGCTGCTCCCCACCACCACCTTTGACTGCTCGGGGAGACTTTCCCCAAAGTATAGAGACTGATATATACACACTACACTGCCTTACAGGCACTGTAGGGAATGCAAAACAGAGCTGAGGGAAGCAGAGAACATAAAGTGCTTCTGTTTTACCTTTCCTTGTAGCATAAAGACAAGGAGTGATTTAACAAGGATGAAGGATGAGAAATTACCAATAGACAGGCCAGGCAGATTTGGATTACTTACTGCTGCTAGAAACCAATACTGAGTTTATTATCTTTCTTCTGCGTAATCCAAGTATTTACGTCCAGACTCCCCCTGCAATTAGCATTGCAATGTCTTAGTAACACATACATTTATTTTTGTTCTTGGACTATAGTAGTGATCAGACCCATCAAACCAATCAGTGTGCCAAAAACTGTGCACAAACAGGGAGAAGACAATACATTTGACCAAAGACTTATCAGAATTACAATGTCAGGAAAAAAATAATTATATGGAATATTTAAAACTCAGGTATACAGCAATTGCATTGTTTACTACTGCACAATTAATTTGTATTGTTGTTATTGCTACTACTTATGTAGCTGACGTAGGAAACAGCAGAAGTCAGCAGCATAGATACACTGGCCATTAGGAAATATCTGGCCACTGTAACTCTGTGGTCTAGGAATCACTATGTCAACTTTTACTTCTGTACACATTTAAATAAATCTGGTTGATACAGGTGAACTAAATTACCATAAAGGCTGATTTATTAATTGCGAACAAAACATTACCCTATGAAACCTTCATTAAAAAGCATTTTACTGTGACTAATGTTAGTATATCGTTATGTATGATCTTAAACGTTATTAAGTAGGAGTCTGACAAATGATTACTGCATGCCTTCTCAATGCCTCTCAGTAACATATATTTGGTACATGGCTAAACTAAATGAGGTCCTACCTTTGCTGAAGTCCTCGACCTTTTCAATGACAAATGCAAAAGCCATTAAGATACATGCAATTCAGTTTAATGTGTCAAAAATCAGCCTGAGGAAAAGCATAAATATACCATTTCCATGGTACTGTACACAGCATTATAAAGTAGTTTCGTGGACTGGTTCTCATAACAGCACTTGCTAGATGGTCCTTATACACTGGTAGACAGATGGATTTTGTAGACTTAGGATAATTTGAAGCATGTCACAGTAATGAAGCATGTGCCTTTTTTTTTCTTTTAATTCTGTCAGTTCTGTGACAGCAAGAATTATCACCCCAATATAGCATGTAAGTGTGCTTGACTTTCAGCACATCAAAAGTAAAATCTCCAGATATATTCCTGTGGCATTAATTAACATGGAACTGGAACAACAGGACCAAATCCAGATCAAGAAAAGAGGTTATCTGCCTTTCTCAGGTAGGAATTTTTGGAGAGAGGGAGAGAGAGAGAGACCAATGAAACAAGCCAAGTTTGCCCTTTCGCAACTTCGGAAGTTTTATAAGCATTTAAGAACCCATCTATCATGAAAAAGGCAAATGCAGGTGCTAACTCACTTTTGTGAGTTTGAAAGCACCACTACGAGTGCTTTTCTTAAAGAGATCTTTAAAAAGAAGCTATAATTTGACCCCTATCCTCACGCAGTCACTTAACCTTCCTCCCAGGTGTCACAGGCTTATCAGCAAGCATTTGCTTAGATGCTCTGTGATTTACAGTCTAACAAAAGGAGAGGAACTGCCTTGCAAACAGGCTTAGGCTATGGAGAATACCTTCAGGCACTGAATGTCAACTCACATGCCCTCTAGAAGGAGCAAGGATCTGGAAGATCCAGCCTACATTGTAGCTACTCTCAATGTTCATTAAGTAACCACCAGACAATGTTACATTTCACAAGTTTCTGATTGCATCATGCCATTTTTAAGAGGCGATGTTTAATTATCGTGACTAATGATGAACTGATTGTGAAACCATAAAAATAATGAATCAGATATTACCAATACTTCCACAGCATGGATGAAAACTCACATACCTATCAGACAAAATTAAATTACAGCAGTAGGTGAGAACAAAATGAAAAAAGAAAGCTATCTGCAGTATGAGTTAAATAAAACAATTTGCAAAACAATTTAAAGATGTCTGAATTAAGAATATTGAAAATAAGATGACCAAGTAGAAATCTCATCAAATGTTCTTCAAAACACTGTACACTTTTGCACGTAAAGTTTCAGTCAAAATCCTGCTTCTAATATTCAGCGTATGCTCTGATGCTTTATACTGTAACCAGTATATTGTGCTGTATAAATTACTTAATTATGTTTTACAAGCTATGTAAAGCCTGTATGCCAGGAATCTGTGTGCATAACCATTCTGTATGAACAATACATTCTGAAATTTATTGTATATATATCATGTCTATACAATACATGTATTGTTTCAAATATTTAATCATACATTCCGTTTCATTCTGTATGAACAAACAGAAAAGCCACTATAGAAAATCTTGCCTTCTCAAACAAGTAAAATGTGGTTTCAAATCTCTTTTTTTTTTCACCCTCCTCTTACAGGATCACAACAACAGCTGCTTGCATGATGGATCTACGCAGATATCCTCTGGACGAACAAAATTGCACACTAGAAATTGAAAGTTGTAAGTTACTGGAGGGAGAGGGTTGGCCAAATGAAAGTTGTGGATTAAAAGACTTTCATGGGTTAGGTAAAACCGGAGCAAGTTGTTCCAATATTATGTGTCCACTGAGCTTGCACACTGAACATACCCAATATATTTCTATAATACATAAGCCAAAATATGTTTAATTCACAGTATTTGGTTGATCCAAGCTTGTAAGATGTCTTTCAAAATCTTTTGTTGAGGAAGGGAGAAGAGTATTTCTTGATGATTAGATCAGAGGACAGCAACCGAGCACTGTCCGTCTTCAGTGCCTAACCACCACAGGACTTGAATTAATTACTTCACCTCAGTGCATTAATCTCTAACATCAAGATTAACATCTGCCCCACGCGGTGGTGGGAGGGTTGATCAATTACTCTTACCAAAAGTCTTGGAGGTTATAAAAGGAAACAACTTGATCCTTCAGCACCAAGGTTAATGAGAGCTTTGCCGTTGTCTTCCATGAGTATAGGATCAAAGGCGTGCAGTTGCAAATTTTTGCCATTAACATAGTTTTTATATCTTTTATGATGCTAGCCTTTAAAGAAATGCCTATCAAGATTTTTGAAAAGAATTTCTATTCTGTTGTTGGTAAAACCAGCTGCTGCCACTGACCACAGAGCAATCTGTCTAAACAACCAAGTTAAGACTACCTAGAGTCCGAGGCAAAATAACGCAGCAGTTTTCTAAGAACTTCCTCTTGTTCCACATTACAACAGTTGCACTGTTAGATTTAAGTTATTTTTTATTATAATAACACTTCTCTCTAAAGTATCAGGTTCTAGAAAGGATTAACAGATTTCCCCAAATTCAGTATTTTGGTTCACCTTACTGAAGAGCAAGAACAGTTTTAGCATTTGAACTTCCATTTTGATGGATAGTTTGGAATATTAAATAAACAGAGAAACAAGCTGATCCAGGACTAAGGGTTCTTCCTTACCTCCAAAATAATTTTCTAATACCTATGTCATCAACAAAAGCAATGTTTTCATTGTTTGTAGCACCTCCCATTCAAGGAACTAAAAGTTATCAGAAGTCCAGTAAGTAGTTTTCATTCTGCAGAAACTCATGATATAAGATTTTTGGACTGAAAAGGGGTTAAATTCCCAAAAACCTCACAGCATCAATTTTCAAAAGGATTCTATTAGTCTTCAGTTGTTTAGATTTGACAAATAAAAACATTTTCATAGTGCCAAAACAATGGAGTATTCACATATAAAACGTTTAATGGTATTTTAACACAAATATAAAATAAAAAAGTCTAACCCAAAGAAGACAAAATCACTTTGAGACTTAGAAAATGTTGCTGGGAAAGATTTCAGTTTATTCTGAACTGAAGAGGTTTTCATCAGTTGAGTATAAGTAAATGTAATATATCTCAACAGATCTGTGAAGTGGCAATTGTCAGGCACTGAGAAAAGCCTACAGTCAGTCTAAAGCTCTGATGAGAGACAAGACAGGCTCTCAGCCCAATGTTTATACTTGTTTATAATTTCTACTTGATGGCATCAGAAATATGCCTTATTTAAAGCACATACCTTCAAAATTACTCTCCATAGTGAAGTATTTTTGGTTTAGTAAGTACATAATCAATATCAGCCTTAATATAAATCAGTGGAGGTGCAGCTTTTCATTTAGATTTTAAATTGTTTGGTAAGAAACTTGAAATGTTTCCCCAAGAATTATTTGCTTTTGCTCCTTTTCCTGGAATGTCATTTTACAGTGATTTTTAGAAATTCTCTGCCAGGTCGAGGACAACAAACCTTTTATTCCAGCAGACAAAGATTTCAATCAAGTAAACATTCACAGTAGGCTGTGAATTTTTACTAGAGAGCATTGTCTGAACATAACTTGCTCATTTATTTCTTTAGAGATTCAAAAAAGGTGTTTTTCATTTTTAAGATCCTAGTGTTTTGGCACTGCAGGCAGACATCTCAGAAAGAGAAGCAGGGAGACAGTGTTGTCAAGGTTCCCCGTGAAGCACCTCAATAGCTGCAGTCCTGAGTCACCACACTAGCTTATTCTCTCTTCACCATTCAAAAACATACAAGGAAGTCTCTGGAAGGACATACCGGTTATGCACCATAGTAAACCCCCACAGTAGCGTGGCAAGCTGGGCCAAGCCAATGTGCATGTAATGAATACTTGTGTTAGACCGACATGCATCAACCTTCCCTGTGCACCTGCTTTCAGTTAGCCTGTCCATATCTACATTGCTCTGAGTTGACTGAAGCACCGCAAACCCACACCCCTGTGTACAAACACATATACAGCCATTTTCTTCTCATTCCCGAGGAGCAGAGGCAGTAGGCATAGCTTCCCTTTCCAGTGCTGCCCATCACCCTACTGATCTTCCCAGTTACTTTCTGCTAGTGCAAAACTCTGGCCAAGTCTCATAATCCACCACTTTACAGGACCTACAGAGCCGCTCATTAAGCTGCACTGTTGTCATACTCATCCTGCCTTTTTCAGCTCCCTGCCTTTTTTGGCACAAAACAGTTTTCTTGATGTTGCTTGCTGCTGCTTGGCTCATCTTCTGGCTTAAGCCTAACAGGGCATGCAATGGATGCCTTTGGAGAACGAGTCATTTCTTGATTTTCAGAATAAAGTGCATAACACAAATCTACTTTCCTACCTGATCAGCAGAGGAAATGAATATATATACAGTACCACAGCAATCAAAATGGGCAACTTCATACTGAAGTTGCCTTCATATTGAATTCATACCTGAATTTATTTGCTGGGAGATAGTTGATTTGAAGTCTCCAGCCCAATCATGACTAAAACTGATCAAAGTACATGAGCATTTATCAGCTAGCAGCCCAAATAACAAAACCAGACTGACACTTGGCTGGCTTATACTTCTTTATTCACATGCTTTCACATAAATGAAGCTTTGTAGGGATGAATGCTCAGTGAAAATGGAATTAGATACTACAACTGAGACCTCATCAAGAATCAAAATTAGCATCAGATGGAATAAGCAATTAAAATGATAACACAATCAGGGATGAGAGAATACCATGTCATCCATGTGGCCAGTCATACATCCCCAAAAGAAAATTGCTTTTCAGACCTTTTGAACACTTGCTATAAATAATTCATGTCTCCAAAGATATATATATTGATATGTTAATACTTGTTGAGCTGATCCAAAGAAATCAACAAAGTCTTCACTCACAATTTGCCAACAGGTCAAAATTGGCAGAGTGTGTTACTTTCCATGAATATTTAGACCAGTTAACAACTGAATGATTTTCCAAAAGCACAAACATGCTTACCCGCTACCGAAAGCCCACAGTCAGTAGATGTGTCAGGAGCACTGGCATCTTTGACAATGCTCCACCTAAAATATACCTTCTAATGCACCACAGCTTTTCTCCTCTGCATGTCTAAAACTCTTGAAAGTTATTGTTCATGTACCTGGCAGAAGAACACAGTTCTGAAGACCAGGCTGCCTACTTCTCTCTTAGGCGTTTGAGTACAAGTAAGCCCGTTGTTCTGAGTACTCAGCACTTGGCAGTACCCACTGATCTCCCTGAAAGCTACCAGGGGCCAGAGTGAAGAGGGTGAATAAAGAGGTGATAACTGTGACCACTGCCTCTCTGTTAATGCCACATGTATTAGGCATGTGACGTTTTCTTCTATGACAGGATCAGTTTATGAGATTCTCACCCTCAACCTCTCCTTCCAGCTCCTGCATCACACTTCAGCTATTCAGCTTTCTGTTGTGCCAGTACACAAATCTTCACAGAGCTAGGATGACAATCAAATTGTTAACATTTTCTTGGTTAAAAAAATCCCTTTGAAAGAAAGGCTTATCCACCTCGATTTTGGGAGAGACAGGAATTAAATAAACCCCAGGGCAGATCCGTTCTTCAAATAAAAGGCCCGGGGAAGGTGGTGCTGTAATCACTAAGCAATCCTGGAACTGCCTGTGTAGCAACAGCAAGTAGCATCTCTCACCGCTAGACAGATACTGTGCACTACGTGTACTGTCAGACCATTTTCAAAGCACTAGAAAGTGGTTTTGTTCAGTATTATACTGTGTACAGTTATATGGTTTAACCCACGTGGCACCAGCTTCCAGTACGGTTTGTGGAAACCATCACTGAACGATAATCGCTACTTGGAGGAGATGTGTTCTAAGTTGCCATTGCCACTGACTTTCTTCTTCTGCTACCTTCAGCAGGAACATAATAACAGTAACACTGACCTTCTTTTAATCCTGTGTTTCTTAACAGGATTTTTATCCTCGGTGCTGCCAGTAATCGTGCAAGCTTGATGCATGCAGAAAGAAAACAATAAATGAAACTAAACACAAAGACATCATAAAGACCTGTATGGATATGTAAATCTATGCAATACTAATAGTCCTAAATCTAGTAACTCTCAGCAGCACATAATCTGAAAGTAACATGTCTGATCTTCAGCTGGTGAAAACTGGCATGGCTCCATTTTTGTTGATTAAACCACTGCAACTCACGCTAACTGAGAATCCTCCCTGTCTGCTTTTTCATTAGTTGTTTCAAATGTTTGTTCCAAGTGGATGACCCTTTCCTCAGCCCCACCCTTTAAATTAGATCTGATGAGCAGAAACACTGTAAATTAACTCAGAAATTAAAATAAATATTTATGAGGAGAGTTCAATGCCTGTAGAAAATACACACAACAACTTGAAATTTAAGCAAAAAGACAAAGGCTGAATAATAAACCAAATCAAAGGTGTGTACGGGCATGTAAAATATCTATCCTGCATTTATACAGGAGTAGTTATTAAACTGATCTCCACTCTCCTGCAGATGTAAATGCATGGCTCGCATGGAGGTGCATACCCGCAGGTGCAAGCAGTATGACTGTGCAGTAGAAACAGCAAGTTAAACCAATGCTGAGACACTAGACCATGGCCAAGATGGATCATGTGTTCCTCACACCATTGTTAAACCCCCCTAAAAAAATCCTGAACTTTATGAGCTTTA